TCAAAAGGATTATGAGTTAAATTTTCAATATTTTGTTCCGCAGTCATGGTCATGATCGTTTACGCTCGTGATATTGAAACTTTTATGTGCTTTCACGCAAATGAATTCGACACTTACACTTGGTCAAGCCATACGAAACCAAATAAAAGGAATCATAAAGTGACGGAGGATTTCTACGTAAAAACACCCTTGGGGATGGAAATTGCAATTAGGAAGAGCTATGCGGATTTTGAGCAGTTCTCCGAGCTGGATAATTATTTTGCAGACGTTTCGTTGCCTGACTAGGCAACATCATCAGTGCGGCTTCAGGGGCCTGGTTCGAAGTGTCTCGTAAGCGAGTTCAATGTCCAAGTGCTTATTGATCGAGTTCTCTTTTGAATGCCAGGCTTCAATGAATTCACGTGCTTGCCGGCTTTTAGCCCTTCCGAGGATACTGGCGTGCTCTAGGTCGAATTGATGGTTTTCAGCATCCATATGCACTGACATCAGGGAGTTCTGGTCGTGGCGACGTATGGCTAGGCTGTGTTCGTGTAGCTTTGTGCCAAGCTTCCTCCCAGCCTGTCCCACGTAGTATTTGTCGCAGTTCCGGCAGCAGATCTTATAAATCACACCAGTTTGTTCTTCTTTGCTAAGTTTATCTTTTACTTTGAAGAGTTTACTGCGAATTGTTTCTGCTGGCTGGTGTGCAACTTTGACTCAACTACGGCTGCAATCATCCGGCAGCCCACAAACGCAGCTGCGTGCAAACCCTTTTCAAAAGAGCACAAACCCACTGTAGCACACCGCAGCTGAGACGGGCAGAGGAAGATCATCTCTTCAATCTGTTCAAGCGGAACTCGTACCCAAAAGGCTTCATTCTACGCTGCCTCGCACCAGGAAAGGTTGCTCGAGACACCTCGACGAATGCAACAACTGAAAAGAGAACAACACTGCCCTATATCAGCGGTATCTCTGAAATGGCAGCGAGGCTTTTATTGCCTTTTGGAGTCAAAGTTGCACACCAGCCAACAGAAACAATTCGCAGTAAACTCTTCAAAGTAAAAGATAAACTTAGCAAAGAAGAACAAACTGGTGTGATTTATAAGATCTGCTGCCGGAACTGCGACAAATACTACGTGGGACAGACTGGGAGGAAGCTTGGCACAAGGCTACACGAACACAGCCTAGCCATACGTCGCCACGACCAGAACTCCCTGATGTCAGTGCATATGGATGCTGAAAACCATCAATTCGACCTAGAGCACGCCAGTATCCTCGGAAGGGCTAAAAGCCGGCAAGCATGTGAATTCATTGAAGCCTGGCATTCAAAAGAGAACTCGATCAATAAGCACTTGGACATTGAACTCGCTTACGAGACACTTCGAACCAGGCCCCTGAAGCCGCACTGATGATGTTGCCTAGTCAGGCAACGAAACGTCTGCAAAATAATTATCCAGCTCGGAGAACTGCTCAAAATCCGCATCCACACCCCGAGCTACAGATATTCTCATTTATTTCAAATCAATTTGGGCGCGACGCGCTGAAATCTGCTCGCCGATGGGAGACATTCGCCAGTCGGCAATCATCCACTGACGAGAAGCTCTATTTCCTCCACGAATGCTTGCGAAGGCAGGTTTTGCCGCCGAGTCTGCGCTACCGTCCTCCGATCAACCATCCTTTGGCTTGGAAGATAACGGAACAACATGGGCGAAGAATGTTGCACCTGTTGATTACAGATGCACACAGTCGAAAGCATAAATACCAGATGGTGATTAACGAACAGAAAGCAATTTGCTTATCCAGACTAGGATCACAATTGACCGAAGAATTGGAAAAAGCGATAGCCGTCAAAACACACAAGACAGAGCTAAATACCAAACGGTGGCTTGAAGAGAAGCTGAATTCGATCTCGCAAAAGAAATCACCTAAGGAAGACGATGCTTGGATTGCAAACATATCCAAAAGAGGATTAACGGACGCGGAAAAAGCAGTCATTGTCCGAGGTATGCAACTCAATATTAAGGACTCCAAGCCTATCGACTTCCTCGCTACACTTGAATCGACGCTAAAATCGTACAACATCGCGCCTGAAGCACAACAAGAGGTCAGACACAGAATCATCCCGGCTCTCAGTCATAAAGCTGAAACCAACATATTCAACGCCACTGAACGGAGAGCTCTGGAGAATCTCAAGAAAGACAAGAGCATAGTTATACTGCCGGCCGACAAAGGACGTCTTACTGTTATAATGGACAAATCGGATTACATGATGAAGGCACAACACCTACTCAGTGACACCAACACATACCAGCCGATAAACGAAGACCCGACAAAACGCTTAGAAGGCAACATCAGACGCACTCTGCAAAAACTGGAACAAATGGGGAAAATCACAAAATTGGAACACAAGAGGATGCGACCACAAGACTCGGTACTACCGCGGTTTTATGGCTTACCTAAAGTACACAAAAGCGGAGTGCCGCTTCGCCCTATCGTGTCGTTACCTGGAGCACCAAATTACAGGCTTGCAAAGGAGCTCTGGAGACGGCTGAAACACTTAATCGCGGGATCGGAACACGCAATCAACTCGGCAGAACAGTTCCTTGAGAAACTTAAGACCGCAACCATTGAACAAGACGAAATAATGGTCTCTTTCGATGTTACCGCCTTGTTCACCTCCATCGATATTGGTTTGGCGAAACAAACAATGACGCGCCTACTAGAGGAGCACATGTCGTCTGATACAAACAGTGGACTCGAACCCAAACAGATGATGGAGTTATTGGAATTCTGTTTAACAACACATTTCACTTTCAATGGCCAAGTTTACGAACAGATAAGAGGCACACCAATGGGATCGCCGATCTCTGGTCTAGTAGCCGAGGCAGTGATGCAGGCGCTGGAACAAATAGCACTCCCGATCGCGAGACCAAAACTTTGGGTACGATACGTAGACGACACCTTCGTCATCCTCAAAAGTTCCAAATTGGAGGAAACACACGAACTAATTAACGGTGTGTTCGATGGCATCCAATTCACCAGGCAGGAAGAGAACAACGGGCAGTTACCATTCTTAGACGTTCTCATACGAAGGACTGGTGCTGAACGATTGGAAACAACAGTCTACCGAAAACCGACGCATACGGACCAGATCCTCAACTACGGCAGCAATCATCCGGCAGCCCACAAACGCAGCTGCGTGCAAACCCTTTTCAAAAGAGCACAAACCCACTGTAGCACACCGCAGCTGAGACGGGCAGAGGAAGATCATCTCTTCAATCTGTTCAAGCGGAACTCGTACCCAAAAGGCTTCATTCTACGCTGCCTCGCACCAGGAAAGGTTGCTCGAGACACCTCGACGAATGCAACAACTGAAAAGAGAACAACACTGCCCTATATCAGCGGTATCTCTGAAATGGCAGCGAGGCTTTTATTGCCTTTTGGAGTCAAAGTTGCACACCAGCCAACAGAAACAATTCGCAGTAAACTCTTCAAAGTAAAAGATAAACTTAGCAAAGAAGAACAAACTGGTGTGATTTATAAGATCTGCTGCCGGAACTGCGACAAATACTACGTGGGACAGACTGGGAGGAAGCTTGGCACAAGGCTACACGAACACAGCCTAGCCATACGTCGCCACGACCAGAACTCCCTGATGTCAGTGCATATGGATGCTGAAAACCATCAATTCGACCTAGAGCACGCCAGTATCCTCGGAAGGGCTAAAAGCCGGCAAGCACGTGAATTCATTGAAGCCTGGCATTCAAAAGAGAACTCGATCAATAAGCACTTGGACATTGAACTCGCTTACGAGACACTTCGAACCAGGCCCCTGAAGCCGCACTGATGATGTTGCCTAGTCAGGCAACGAAACGTCTGCAAAATAATTATCCAGCTCGGAGAACTGCTCAAAATCCGCATCCACACCCCGAGCTACAGATATTCTCATTTATTTCAAATAGGAAGATCTATATCGGAAATATGACATTACCTGTTTTACTCATTGGTATTATTCGATCGCTAGATGGAAACTTAGAAGACTAAAAGTGTTATAAAATGCCTTGAATATTCTCGTCTGGGCATCATTCTGCTGCACGAAACCCGGCCTCAAATTGGTGTTGAATACGCAATGGTGGAACTCCATGGACTTCGCTCTTTTAATCTTGATCGCCAATGTATACGGAGAAACCGCAGCGGTAGCATTATCAGTTACATTGATTATTCATAATGCAAGTCGATTAAAAGCATTTTGAATGCAGCTCACAACACATCAGGTGTTTAATCCTGAAATGTAAACCAAGATTGCTGAACGGTTCTCGTCCGATTTTATTGGCTAATTCTTATATCTCACCCAGTTCTTCATGCTACGACGTTGCATAATTTTACCGCAGATGTATAGCCACGGTCCTCGAATACTTGGAACTTTCCATGTATATAGTTGCCAAAGATCTTGACAGATCTGACACCAGCTTCATTGCGAGCCTTGGGCTAAAGAACATAGTTCCATCTCCAACCAATTGACATGGCATTTGTTAACAACCTGCACATGTTTTCTTTTTGTCATCGGGCTCCACTCTGGTGTCCTGATCATACCCCTAAAGTTATATCCCGTTATCTATAGCAAGATGAACCATAGAAACCTCACCCGTTGCAAACATCGAAAGTTCAGGCAGAGACAATATCTTCCCCAGAAAATTCAGCGCCTGCATGAAACCATTGCTGCCACCGATTGTACTTCATTTTAACATGCGGACGTATCGGAGTATTGTGACCAGCTAACTAGTTACTTAAACTTCTGTTTTCATACTTGTCGTCCAATTGAAATAATTTTTATCCATGCCGATAGGTTGGCGTCTCAACACTTCACTCGACGTCGGAGGCTTGACGAAAAGGTATTTAAACGCAGACGTTACATCAGTAAAGTCTATCGATTGGGATAAAGAATGAATTTCATCGCCTCAACCATATCTTCTTTCAAACCGTACTTGAAAACAATAACTGTCTTGAAAAATAAAAAACGCGTTAAAACTGTTAAACGGAGTCAACCGCGCGGTCACGCATTCAACTCCGGATGTGGAAAAAAAGAAACCTTACTTTTTGGGACGAGGATAGTACTTCATTCGTTGATATATCATCGACTGGGTTGCAACTAGCCTCAGATAACCCTCTTCCTGTAAACGGCTTAGAAGTATACAGGGAATTATTCGGGTCGAAAGTGAACAAAGCATCTAGCCAGGATAAATTGTCTCCTGTAATTCTCAAGGGATGTGAAGATTACCTGGCACAGCCCCTCGCCACTTGTACATACTGTGCTGCAAGCAGCGCAAGATGGCTGACAGTCGGTAAAACAAATGCATCACACCAGCGCCAAAGAACGGAACTTGCAATTATCAGGCGCTTGCTTGCACGTCGATTGTTCTGAAGATTTTGAGAGCCTAATTTTTTAAGCATCACAGCCCAGACCCATTTGGACGATCAGTTTGCATATCGAAGCTCAAGGTCCACCTTAGATGCGGTACCATGCCTGGTACATACTATACTCTCGTTACTGGATAATAAAAAGTCCATCCGCATCTGCTTTCTGGAGTTTAGCAACGCTTTCGGTTGTGTGAACCGTGAACCCTTGTTGTGCGATCTACTACCCATTTATTCAGAGAGTAATTTCAAATTTGTATGGAAATGAAAGACAATTTTCTTTATAGTGAATAAATATTTTATTGAATTATACACTTTCTATTCCGGTCCAGTACATTTGCCAGCTTTCTGAAAGTAGCAGAAAACTACGCATATAAAATCGTTGTTCATTGTTAGCAAAAGACTGATCCAGGTGATGTTTGATCTACTCATTTAAAGTAAAGCTTTGACCATCTGAAATGTTTTGAAGAGACGGAAACAAATAATAAACAGAAGGTGCCAAATCTGGAAAATATGATGGGTGTGACAATCTCTCCCATCCAAACAGTAAAAGCTTCTGGAGAATTAGCAAACTTGTGTGAGTTCTCGTATTGGTTTGGTGTAACACTAAACCATTTCTATTGATCCATTGTAGTCTTTTCTGTTTAAGCGAATCATTCAAGTTGTCCAGTTGATGAGAGTACACATCAGATTTGATCTTTGCGTTGTCCGGTAGAAGCTCAAAAAACGATTATTTGAAATCCTAGCAAACAGATATTATCACCATTTTTGATGAATACCGGCTTTCCGAGTGCTTTGAGACAGTGCATCTTTTATACTCCAAGATCTCTTGCTTTTAACATTAACAGTTCCCATCCCCAGTGATGATGCGCTTCAAAAATAGATCATTTCCTGGACATTTGAGAAGCAAATCACAGACGTCGACGAGACGGCACAAATTGTTTTCTGTACTAATATGAGGGACGCATATGTCAAGCTCTGGGATTAAACCTAGGTGTTTTAATTAATGATGGACCGTGGAATTCCATAACTTTAATCTCGCAGTGATCACAAAATTTGTTATTTGTCGATTCACATCAATTAATGCCTTTATTGTGTCATCATCAGCTTCAACTGGCCTTCTTGAGCGTGGTGAATTTTCAACGTCAAAAGTCGCTTGAAGCATCGTAATTTTGCAAACCAGTTTTGGTTCGCGTTCAGTCAATACATCTTTTCCATTCAAAAAACCATAATCCGTTTCTTTCTTGAACGGTAATTTAACCTTTTCAATTGGAAAAAGTAAAATATACCGAAAATGCTGCTTCTCACTTCCCATATTTGAAAGGGCACTATCCAAATACTACTGCGTAGAATTAGCGGAAACATTCAAAAGCAAGACTTGTTATATCAGCTGGCAATCATATACTGATTATGCAGCATAAATGTGAAGTTGGCTATAAAAACATAAAAAACAATTACTTTCCGAACAACAAATGTTCTGGAGTTCAAAATTCTGTTGTTGTTCTTCTGTTGATGGCTTATGGATGTGTTAGAGCTAAATCTGTACACCATACATGAGTGCATAAAACAAATTCACAACATTGACCTGACTCGACCACATCCTGATCTACTCCGGGACACCAAATATAGCTCCTTGCTAGTGCCTTCATCATTTAATTTCTTTGGTGACAAATATATGGTTGGTTTGTAGTTTGGATGCGACGACTAGAGGAACTCAAAGTATGCAATAATCTTAGAGGTTCAATTCAGCTATTTGACGGTGAAATGCTCTGATATTCGCACACCCTATCAGGCCAACTGGTTAGGATATAATCCTTTAACTTCTACACATCAGGATAATACAGTTTTTTCACTTCATCTCCGTTGCAGTCACTAGCGAATTATCCAACCGAGATATCACTTGCACCTGTCGTGATTTTCGGACCTGCTGTCTCCTAACAATACACTCCACGACCGACCGGTTTCGTCCTGATTTGGACTTGTCAGTTATTGATAGCCAGTGGTGAGAGGAGAACCCGACACAGCAGTTAACGGCTTTTGTATTGGTCACTTAGCCAGAGCCCCATGAGTAGACATTTTCTACAAATCAAACTGTGGCCCCAATCTAGATTGCGTATTGCTGTCCAGACACACATCGTGTACTTCAAGACCCAAAAAATCACTTGGACCCTTTGGCTCACTGTCGGCATATGGCTGGGAGCCTCTCGTAATAGAAGTCTATTGAGAGCGTCGACACATGCAGTCTCCATACCGGGAAGCTATTTTTTGATACAGATAGCCACTGAGTAGTAGTTAATTCAACTCATAGTGATCTTTGCCTATGTTCAGCATTTTCACAGCAGCACTGCGGAACATAATACGTCAAGGCATCAATAAGAATGCAAAAATGGCAGTAGCAAAATGAGCGAGGCTGCATCTTCGAACAAGCATATGGTCACAAATGCGGGGTTTCATTCTTGATGGGTCGATTAGCGAGCGTGGCAAATAAGGCGGTATGGAGTTCCCAAACGACGTGGTATGAGAATATAAAACTTTAAATTTCGATCGTGTGAACAAAGTAGATATAGTACTGGCTAGGATAACATGTAAGATCTTTGAAGGTTCGTTTAAAAGCCCAGATGAAAAATTGGTGACTGCATCAAAATGTATGTCAACGAGAAAACCAATCATCCGTGCTCTCCTTAGCCCAGAGCAACGAGAAATCAATTTTATCGAACGGAGAGGAAGGAAGTCGCCTTTTTGACGAAGTCCGAAGGTAATAACAGGGGAACAGCATTTCTAGTGGGGGAGACACCTGCAATTACAAGGCTTAGAATCATACCATCAGATGCGGAGAGAATTTTGAGCTAGCGAGTGTCAAAAGATTGCCTACTAACTGGTTTAAAATTCCCTAGAATGCTTGTAGAGCAACATAAATTGTGCAACACTTGACGGTAGAGGATCAAGTTACTTTATGATCATCCAAGATCGTGGGAGGGGAGATATGTACGATTGACAGAACTCTGTTGGAAAGCAGAAAGCAGAAGATTGTGTCACAACACTTGAAAGGATGGGAGATAGGGACAGGGAGGTTGACCAAATGACCAGGTTATTTGACCCACATTAGAATTTCAAAGAATCCTCAATGATTAGTTTACGCAACGCAGGATGATGTTATCAGCATATTTACAGCTTATGAACTTTGATGGAATAGGAAGACTTTCAGTGTAGGCGGATAATAGAAAAGAGGATAGAATGGCTTTTTGCACAACATTACTATTGGGTGGGAGGTCAGACGATTTTCTGCCGTATAGCTGCATGAACTCTGCGATTAATGAATTAAGCACTCATCACGCTGCACACATGGGGGACACAATTTTCGAACAAGTTGTTCAGCAGTAATTATCTGTCAAGGCACCCATGAAGCTTGATATAATCGAGAAATAGGAGCCGTACGCTCACGCATCTATTGTCCAACCATAACACCATGGAATACACCAGATACGAAATTGCAAACAGTGTAGATCACCCTGGTTCATTGACGACTTCTTTGATATCACCAGTATAACTGCCTGTGAAAATGCGGGCTATCATTAGATTTTCCACTTCCTTTACCAACCAGGATGTGCATGTAACTGACCGACACATTCGAGATCCTTATTTCTGCTGTTTGCCAAATTTCGGGAATCGTATCAGTCGTCTAGGACCGATTCAAGATATCTCTCAGTATCTTTAGATCTGCGATATTTCAGAGCGACTGTTGATAAAGCATTCGGTCCACTAGCATTGTTTTCTTTCAGCTTTGTGAGCATCTTGGAAACATTTGTGATATCGAATACATAACTAAATAACTAAATAAATATTTTATTCTCGACTATTCGAGGCACGCCCATGGAGGCATGATCAGATATGTACAACTGTACAAACATTTTATGGCAACTGTAACAGTGACAGTAGAAAATTGTTCATATGTCCATGATTGAAACTGTACAATGGTGAAAATGCGAAACAATAATTTGGCTGTCCTGAGATACGGGACCTCTGCTAATAATAGATTGAGAATCCTGAATGATCCATTGGAAGGTAACGAAAGAGCACGCTCAAGAGATATATGCCAATAGAGTGAGTTGGTGCACAAGTAAGGCAAAGGTCAACGTATCGTAGGAAGTAAAATGACGACAGTATATGCAGATGTAGAAGTTCCAGTGTAATGATCCTATCTAGAATTGTGCCGCTAATTGACCTGCCAGTGTGAAGTTATGGGCTGTGACTTTATTCGGTGGCGAGTCACATTCGCCACGTTGCAGTGTTGTTAAACGGACATTTGTGGCTTTTTATAGGGAGAACGCTTGCCAGGCGAAAACCCACCACGTCCTGGAACACCGCCGCCAATCCATTGAATGGCAAATTGTAACTGGCTATGTTTCTTGTTGAACGTTTGTTTGCCCGGTTATTCGCAGTCAGGTTGCGTCCCATAAAGTGTGAGGCTCTGTGGAAGTGATAGAAGGTATGGGATGTGTGGTAGTTAATGAGGAGCAGAATATAGCGTTGAATTTGTCTTCAATTTCGGTGCATAGTATTCCGCAGGAATAATTTCCAGAGTGTTGTCTTAAATGTCTCCACATTGCACGGCAACTGCAGTTGCCTAAAATGTTTTGAATTTACGGAATGTTTGACCTTCTTACATCAGCTACGGGCATCTCTTGTTTATAAGCTTTTCTTTTTTCTCCGTAAATGTTTGAGTAACGGCGATGAAAGTTTAACATTTCGAAAATAGTTAACCTCAATGGCACTACACAGATTAAAACAGAGTTTGATACAGTCTGTGGGGTGCTTGCATTGAGCTGACTAGTCTTCAATCGCAAAAAATTGGAAAAGCAATTGAACAGTGTTGATTTGTGTATGGCTGAGTGAAGCATACAAGGGGATGCCATTTGTAGTATCGCTTTTGATTTGCCTAGAATCCACAACAATGACGTGTTCTGTGTATCTCAGATTTCTGCCCGCGTAGGTATTTGTCAACTTGGACAAACCCCAAGATTACCGCCATAGCCTGCTTATCAGTTTGGGCGCAATTCCGCTCGGCAGCCTGGCACACCTTGTATACGGACGCACTTTAACTCGGCTCTCGCTTCGCCCTCTGTGATCACTCTAATGCTGTCCACACAATATTGTGCGTATGCTCGTTCTAACCAGTTCGAAGAGCTCTGCTCAGTACTTCCCACCTCTTGGATTTATCTTGTGT